TCGGCTGAGAAGACCAAAGTGTTAAGTCATTCAGTATTGCTTAATGACGTGTATTATGCGTCCGAAATAGAAGAAGTATGTCTTGTGGACGACAATCAGTTCACACTAACCATTTCCAACGAGAGCGGACCCCTTTCCTTCATACACAACGATTGCGATTCAATAGTTCAGGCGATTATTCACATCCGCACGCGTTGGGAGTTATCACAACCCGACTCAGTGACAGTGCACACGAAGATCAGGCCGAAGGATGTTCCGGGAACTCTACTCAATATGGCTCTTCTCAATCTGGGCAGCGCTGACCCCAACCTCCGGACGGCCGCATACAACCTGTTGTGCGCACTCACCGGTACTTTTGATCTCAAAATCGAGGGCCAACTCTTGGAAACGGCAGGTCTTTGTATTCCTTCTAATAATACAATTTTCATTAAACAAATCAGCGAAAAGTTAGCCATAAATGCATCCCATTACTCACCGGTACTTTTGATCTCAAAATCGAGGGCCAACTCTTGGAAACGGCAGGTCTTTGTATTCCTTCTAATAATACAATTTTCATTAAACAAATCAGCGAAAAGTTAGCCATAAATGCATCCCATTTGACACTCGAGTTCCTCGAAGAATGCATTCAAGGGTTTAGGGCATCGAATATAGAGCTGAAGCACTTGTGTCTCGAATACATGACTCCATGGCTTCCAAACTTAACTCGATTTTGCAAACATTCCGACGATAATAAAAGACAAAGAGTGGCCACAATTCTCGATAAACTCATTACATTAACTATAGAAGAGGTTGAAATGTATCCATCAATTCAGGCCAAGATCTGGGGTAACATCGGACAGGTGTCTGATCTGTTGGACTTAACTCTTGATAGTTTTATTAAACGATCGGTTACTGGAGGTCTGGGCAGCTCTCAAGCAGAGATAATGGCTGATACGGCCGGTAAGTGACTCATTGAATATCACCATTTAATTAGTTAATTAATTGTTTGCATTGCCATTGCATTGACACTGTAGTGGCCTTAGCGTCGGCTAACGTCCAATTGGTGGCTATGAAAGTGATTAGTAGACTGTGTCGAGTGATTGAGAAGACGTGTACGTCTCCGACCTCTACTCTGGTACTCACCGGTACTTTTGATCTCAAAATCGAGGGCCAACTCTTGGAAACGGCAGGTCTTTGTATTCCTTCTAATAATACAATTTTCATTAAACAAATCAGCGAAAAGTTAGCCATAAATGCATCCCATCTGACACTCGAGTTTCTCGAAGAATGCATTCAAGGGTTTAGGGCATCGAATATAGAGCTGAAACACTTGTGTCTCGAATACATGACTCCATGGCTTCCAAACTTAACTCGATTTTGCAAACATTCCGACGATAATAAAAGACAAAGAGTGGCCACAATTCTCGACAAACTCATTACATTAACCATAGAAGAGGTTGAAATGTATCCATCAATTCAGGCCAAGATCTGGGGTAACATCGGACAGGTGTCTGATCTGTTAGACTTAACTCTCGATAGTTTTATTAAACGATCGGTTACTGGAGGTCTGGGCAGCTCTCAGGCCGAGATAATGGCTGATACGGCCGGTAAGTGACTCATTGAATATCACCATTTAATTACTTAATTAATTGTATTCATTGCCATTGCATTGACACTGTAGTGGCCTTAGCGTCGGCTAACGTCCAATTGGTGGCTATGAAAGTGATTAGTAGACTGTGTCGAGTGATTGAGAAGACGTGTACGTCTCCGACCTCTACTCTGGTCATTGCCATTGCATTGACACTGTAGTGGCCTTAGCGTCGGCTAACGTCCAATTGGTGGCTATGAAAGTGATTAGTAGACTGTGTCGAGTGATTGAGAAGACGTGTACGTCTCCGACCTCTACTCTGGAGCAGCACTTGATGTGGGACGACATCGCTATTCTCGGCCGATATTTGCTGATGTTATCGTTCAACAACTGTCTGGATGTGGCCAACCATTTGCCATATCTGTTCCATATTGTGACACTACTGGTCCACACGGGACCCATGTCTTTGAGAGCGTCAATCCACGGATTGGTCATCAATATAATCCATTCGTTGTGCACCTGTACTAAGCCGTCATTCAGTGGCGAAACGCAACGATTATTGCGTTTAAGTTTAGACGAGTTTTCGTTACCGAAGTTTTACTTATTGTTTGGCATAAGTAAAGTGAAGTCAGCGGCGGTGACGGCATTCCGTTCAACAGCTACTGGCAGTCACGGCCGGCACTTCTGCATCGATCGACACCACTATCTGCCTCAGGACCGGTCGTTTAACCAATCCATTGGTGAACATCAGGAACGCATACCTTTGGCCTCATTGGAAGTGATCACTGATGCCCTGTTGGAGATTATGGAGGCGTGTATGAAGAACATACCCAACTGTGATTGGCTCCAGCAGTGGATTGAGTTGTCCAAGTCGTTTGCATTCCGCTATAACCCCGCTCTTCAGCCGCGGGCTATCATTGTGTTCGGCTGTATATCGAAGACAACTATCGATCAGGAAGTGAAACAATTGTTGCGAATTCTGGTCAAAGCTCTCGAATCGTTCCAAGACTTACAACTCATTGAAGCCATAATAATGGGTTTGACTCGTTTGCAGCCACTTCTGGCCCCCGAGTCAGCCATACATCGGGCACTGTTTTGGGTCGCCATCTCTGTCCTCCAATTAGACGAAATGTCTTTATATGCGTCCGGTTTAGCACTTTTAGAGCAAAATCTTCATACACTCGACTCTATGAGTACTTTCGAAACAAATACTTTAAAACACATAATGATGTCAACGAGAGAACCGCTTGAATGGCATTTCAAACAATTGGACCATTCGGTAGGTCTGAGCTTCAAATCCAACTTTCATTGCGCTCTTGTCGGACATCTGATCAAAGGCTTCAGACATCCGACGCCCACAACAGTCTCGCGAACGGCTCGTATCCTAAATATGTTGTTAGGAATTATAGCCAAACCTCACAAACGCGACAAATTTGAAGTGACCGTCGATTCGGCGGCCTATTTGTCAGCTTTGGTCTCAGTCTCTGAAGAAGTACAAAGTCGTTGTCATCTTAAGCATCGCATCACAAGATTGGTATCGGAGTCGCCGTCGACTAAAAATTTTACATCAGATCTGCAACAAAACGTGTCGAACACAACGGGTTCGTCGACATCACCGAAGAATCCTCCGACAACTCCCACACAACAAACCCCATCTCCAACACCACTTCCATCGCCCTCTACCTCCATGTCCTCATGCGTGAGTCAATCGACACAAATCACAATAATTGCCTCAACGTATGCCATGCATCAGTTGCACCCGCAGTCGCCTTCCACAGCATCCGTATCATCACATCCCACTACTCCAACCAATAGGCGCCAGAAGTCTTGGGATCAACTCGACCAGAACGCCATATCTCAGGCTAAGCTCACCCGAGCGTCGAACTATCATTTCCAGCATAATATGAACCCAGCGTTGACTCAACCACACAAAGACCCCGCAAAACACTGGAAGAGTCTCGATATAGAGGCGGCCAACTCTTTTCGACCCTTATTTCGTACTCAACGCAGTTCTTCAATGCCGACACCGAAAGTACATAAAAGTGTCGACAATTCTGTTTCGAGCGGAAGCGTTGCAGTCGTCGACAATAACAGCGCTTCCAGCAGTCGAGGCAGAGGTTCACCTGAAGACAGTACTATAGCCGCTGATGATATTGAAGATACGGCCAGACTTCGCGATAAAAACAGAAATTCTAGAGTTTCCGTTTCCAATGAAGACAACGTGTTATTAGATCCAGAAGTATTGACCGACTTTCCCACTCAAGCACTTGTACTAACAATACTCGTGAGTATTTCTGCATTGATTACTATTAGAATATTTTAATCAAATAAACGATTATTTGTTTGACATTAAAGGCAACACTCGTTCGCAACACAACCGATGAATTGGAAATGAGAATACTTTATGAATATTTAGCGGAGGCTTCGGTTGTTTTTCCAAAAGTGTTTCCAGTTATGTAAGTATTGTTTATACAACTTATAAAAGCTTTTTCATAATACATAATATTTATGTGTTTATTACTAGACATTCATTATTGGACGCAAAGATAACGAGTGTGTTGTCGTTATGTCACGATCAGGTGATCTTAAGTGCAGTCCAGAGTATTATACAGAACATGATTGCGTGCGAAGACGCCCAACAACAACCACATTACCTCCAGAGTAAGTGATCATTGAATCAATTGATAGAACATGATATGCAATGAATGTGTTGTTATCTGTTGTCATAGCTTTTGGTTTCGGTGGTTTGTGGCGATTCGCGGGTCCCTTCTCTAAGTCTTATCAGTCAAATCTGGATAACGCGGAGCTATTCGTCAATTGTTTGGAAGCGATGGTCGAGACGTGTCTACCGGTAGACGACGGAGAGGTGCGTGAACTGGAATACCCGAGTACTCTGAGCGTGTCGTCTACAATGAATCTCTCGTCATCGATGTCTTCGCTGACATTGGGTTCTCCGACCGATAAGGAGATGACTGCACAGGAATATCATTCGACAAATTCTGTGTCGAGCGCTGCCAACGCTAACTGTGAGACCAAACGTAACGGTGCTTCCAATCAACACCCGTTCATCAAACAGAGAAGCTTTAAGTGTAAGGCACCCAAAAATGGTAGCAAATAATGGATTCAATTTAAAACAATTGTTATAATTTTATTGTAAATATTTATTCTCTTATTATTATAATTATAAACTGTTTAACTGTTCGTTAATCTATTTAACTGTTCTATTGATCTCAAGAGCTGTTCTACTGATGAGAGACCTGTTATTTACCATTAAATCATTTATACATCGATTTAATTACGGTTTTAAAAAGTCTTGTTAAAAATCAAGTTATGATGAAATGTTTTCAAATTAAAACTTTTTAAACACAATGAAAGAAATCTTTAAATTTTTGAGAGATTTGTATTAAATTCATAAAACAAAAAGAAATTATGTATTAATTTAATTGTTTATATTTTAACTGAAAGACTATTTAAAGGAAATTTTAAAATGTTTAAAGAAATGTATATTTTTGGACAGATTTGTGACAAAAGTAATTGAACGACAAACTAAATAAATTATTGATTTTCATTCATTCCATGTCTTATTTACAAAATAATATTTTAATTTCTAAAACAATAACAGAATTCGTTTAAATTAACAATTAATTCAAATCTCCCGGTGTTTTGTATGTATGGCTTAATTAAATTATCTTTTAGAGGGAACATATGGTGCGACTGTACCTACTGTTGGGGTGAATGGTATAAAAAAATTGTATTAAAATTACGAATATTGAACGATAACATCATTGCAGATCACATCCGCATTATAGACACCTCTTTGTGTGCGAACGAGTGGCACATTCAGGCATACCTTCTGCCTATTAATGTGCCACTCGTTACCACACGTGTCCACTAAGACATGACGTGATACGGCCGTGAGGTTAGCGTTCAATATTAAATAGCGTTTATATAATCAAATGAATCGTTGCTTTTAGTGTTATATATATTAAGTTATATTATATTATTAAACGGGTATAGAAGTCAAGATAGCAAAGTATGAAAGCCAAGCGCCTATCAAATAGATAGCCTCCATATTATGACGGTTACCATCGATGAACTTTCTTGCGATGAATTTTAATGTTTCGTCTAATAAAATGACTGGTAATGAGATCTTCAATACAGCCCACCATTCAATCACTGTCAGCGGACACACAGAAAATACAACCTAAACAACAAAAAACATTAATTCACGCCATTTATGATGAGTTGAGTGAAACGTACCGAAAGAATATCGACATAAAGAATCATAAAGTGAAGAGTCATGGAGAGGGCCATCGCTGAGAGCAGCCAGATGTTAGTCCACGGGGGCATCGCTACCAACGACTGGTTCTCCGATAGACTATTAAATCAAATTCAAATATTTGCCGATCAATAACGAGCTAATTGTTAATGAGTGTTGTGTTCGCAGACCTGTTCAACGCGTTAAGCATTTCGATGGTGACGAGAACGGAGAGAGCCATAGTCATGGGGTGCGGGTCGTGGAAAATATTGCAGTCGACGCCTTTGAAGTTCTCGGCGTCACCGATGCATTGCAAGTGATGCGACAGATGATAGTAAGTGAGGTGAGGGCCGTTATCAGCGACCATATACCACCATGCTGCCGCACCCACCGTCGCCGCGCCCACGTATGCTATATCACAATATATGTATCGTTAGTCAATGTTTGGCTCATTTATTGGCATCACTTGTACTCACTTCCGACAGCCATATAACGGAAGAACAGCCATCCAGTAATGAGTGGTTCGTTGGCCTTACGGGGCGGACGATCCATAATATCGAGATCTGGGGGATTGAAGCCGAGAGCAGTAGCCGGCAGACCGTCTGTCACCAAATTAACCCATAAGAGTTGGACAGGAATTAAGGCTTCGGGCAAACCGAGGGCAGCGGTCAAGAAAATACTATACAACAAAAAACAGCGTTATTTATATATCAATTGATTTATATGTGTTTTGAGAGGACAGACCTGACGACTTCGCCGATGTTGGATGAGATAAGATATCGAATGAATTGTTTCATATTGTTATATATGGCTCGTCCCTCCTCTACGGCCGCAACAATTGACGAGAAGTTGTCGTCCGCTAATATCATCTCAGCGGCTGACTTGGCGACAGCGGTTCCCGAACCCATAGCTATTCCAATCTCGGCCTTCTTGAGTGCGGGCGCGTCGTTGACGCCGTCGCCAGTCATGGCAGAGATCTCTCCGTCCGCCTGCAAGAACTCCACTATTTTGGACTTGTGTGCCGGCTCTACACGTGAGAACAGTCGCGCCCTTCGAACGGCACTTCTTTGCTCATTGATCGGCAAATCGTCGAATTCTCGGCCAGAATATGACATTCCAGTCGTGTCTTCCTCCTCAGTAAAAACACCAATTCGTCGGCAAATGGCTTCAGCGGTCGCTTTATTATCACCGGTAATGACAATGACTCGAATACCGGCGGCGCGGCACTGGTTTATCGAGTCAAAGATCTCTTTGCGCGGCGGGTCTAACATACCGACCACTCCAATGAAAGTCATGTTAACCTATAGTTTAGATTAATCGTTAAAATCAAAATGTCTCAAAGTGTATGACGAGTGTTACCTCATAGTTGATAAATTTGGTCGATTCGGTCAAATCCATCTCATCCGGTCGCAGCGGGTTATCCAAAGTGGCCAAAGCCAAGCATCGAAGTGTGTCCCGACCCGTACCGTAATGACGGGTTGTCTCTAAAATTCGATTCTTCACGGCTGAAGTCATGGGAACCTTTTTGTCACCGACTCTCACGTGAGAGCATCGATCCAATACTCCTTCCGGTGCACCCTTTCAGTGAATAATAGATTCATTATTATTACAGAAATAACGGACTAATCAACACAACTAACTTTGCAGAACATTTTGGGTCCGGCGCCGAGTTTGCCCACTTGTTTGGGCACACAGTAAGTGCTCATTGATTTCCTGTCCCGAGAAAATTCTAATGTAAAGTCCTTTCTCCACATATTCTTGATGTTCTGATTGACAACAATAGCGGTATCTCTTCGGTTGAGACCGCGTTTCTCGAAATTCCATGGATTCATCTTTTCGGCCAACACTACGAGTGCTGTCTCTGTGGCCTCACCCACTTTCTCAAACGCCTGCTTAAATTCATTGAAATCAATGCTCGAGTCGTTACACATGCAACAGATGGTGGCCATCTCGAAGAGTGTCTCATAATCAGAAGTCTTGATTTTATTGCCTTTCATATACACGTCACCGATTGGCTCATATGTAGATCCGGTCACTTCAAACTCATCCAATGCAATGTCAGATCCCTCGGCGTTTTGAATCGTAAATAACTAATGAACACCAAATCAATCATATTATAAGCATTAACAGTAATAGACATATAATAGTCATGTAATACATACTCGACTGACTGACATCTGATTTGTGGTAAGAGTACCGGTTTTATCGGAACAAATGACTGAAGTGCAGCCCAGGGTCTCAACGGATGGCAGAGAGCGGACAATTGCGTTCTTCTTAGCCATACGTCTTGTGCCTAAAGCCAGACAAGTGGTGATCACAGCGGGTAAGCCCTCGGGAATGGCAGCGACGGCCAGTGCGACAGCAATTTTAAAGTAATAAATGGCGCCTTTAATCCAAGAGCCCCCGTGAGCCGGATCGTTGAAGTGACCGATATTTATGGCCCAAACGGCAACACAAATGACAGAAATAACTTTAGACAGTTGTTCACCGAATTCATCCAATTTCTGCTGAAGCGGTGTCTTTACTTCTTCTGTTTCCGCCATTTCTGTCCTAATTTTGCCGATAGCTGTTTCCAGACCTGTGCCCATCACTATACCCATTGCTTTGCCCGCAGCAATGTTTGTACCCTTTAATTGCATATTAAATGCAAAATGAATAATCCATTCAATGGATATAATTTAAGCATAAATACCGAGAAAATAATATTCTTCTTGTCCTGATTGACAGCTCTGGGATCGGGAATACAATCTGTGTGTTTGATTACAGACACCGATTCACCGGTAAGAATAGACTGATCGACGCGAAGAATTGTGGACAAAACTTTAATGAGTCTGATATCTGCGGGTACTTTGTCTCCAACGGACACCTCAACGATATCTCCGGGAACTATCTCTCGGGCTCTGATTTTCTGAACGCCTGCTTTGTCCTGACGAATCACTTTTCCCATTTCCGGCTCATACTCTTTGAGCGCTTCGATAGCACTTTCGGCGTTCCGTTCCTATCGTTAATATAAATGTCGTTAAACTGATAGCAAGAGATGGTGTGATGTGTGCCATACCTGCCAAACGCCTACCACAGCGTTTGCGATCAAAATTAGTAAAATTACAAACGGCTCCACAAATGCCGTCACCGAGTCTTCATTCTCCTCAAAAAAGGCTAAAATCTGTGTTAAAAATGACACAAAAAAGTAGAAACAAATTATATGTGAAAATAATTGAGGAAAACTTGTGGTAATTTGGATAATGGTATGAAAATACATACAAATGATATAATAGCGGCTAATAATAAGATTTTGACTAAAAGATCGTCGAATTGCTCGAGAACTAACTGCCAAATGCTTTTGCCTGAAGACAAATACAATTACACATTAGGGTTGAGATCAAACACATTAAGCCATCAATCAATTGACACATACCTTCCTCTGCCGGCAATTCTGTGGATCAGACGACACGCAGACATGAAATATACAAATCAAATGACAAACATATTTAAAGGCAGTGAATGAGTGGACATACCGTTTGGGCCATACTTTTCCTGATATCTCTTCACCTGATCATCGCTGAGGCCTTTGTCGACGTCGGTCTGGAAGTAGTCCAACACTTCCTGCCATGTCTTGGAGTGCGCGGACTCCATATGTATGCACTTCTAGTTAAGGCCTTCAATACACACAATCAACTGTTGGCCTAACTATCAAATACTGATTAGTAATTAACACTACAATTCAGTTAATACTAAATACTATTGAAATAAATATATAAAAAGTTGTAATAATTAGTGAATGAGTGGAAAGAGTGTCACAAATAGTAGTGAACTCTAAGTGCAGTGTCTGTTACGGGCCGTCAATACATAGCGTACTCTACGATACTATACGTAACGCATTACTATTGGTTACACTCTCTCTCCCTCTCTCTCCCTCTCCTCATACTCTCTCACTCTCTCTCTCGCATTGAATACAGCGTTGAATGCAATCCTCAATGACTCTCACAATTGTCGGATTGCAACACATCTGATGATGACATGGATTGAGCGCATGTTTCCCATCACTCGCTCTTTAAACGCGATTTTTATAAATTTGGATTCATTTGAAGGAAATCTACTCTAAATATAATCCATTGGATAAAAGGACCCAATGTTTGCTATGTTTGCAATGTTTGACTCGCATTCAAATCTCTATTAAAAAAAAGTATGAAATTCTGGTTGAAGTGAAGAACTGCTGCGACACTCAAATTCTTGACAAAAACTCGTGTCTATTATATACACTGTATCTACACTTCGGCTATCGTTTCGATCTATCAATTCTCACTCCTATACTCCTATACACTATATTCTGTTCATTATCTTCTGTTATAAGATTTTGAATTTTTATAATTATTATTATGAATTACAAAAATGTGATTTTATAGACAAATAAACAAAACATAGGAAACGTATAAAAAAAATTAATTTCCAGGAATTATAAGCCTATTCTAAAAATAAATGAGATTTATATATAAGTGGTGTATATATAGCACAATAAACGGGGAGATATTACTGTCGACTTTAATTCTCACTTAACTTATGTTTTCAAATATATGTAAAATTTCTAATTATTTTTTCACAAATAAATTAAATGCAAATATATTTGTATTGAATTAATTTGTAAATTCCATTCACTATACAAATGATTGAGATGTAGACATGTCTTGTAATTCAAGTTATTATCTAAAATTAGTTTAAATATTTGAATTGAAGTTCAAATTTGATTAATGAGTGTAAAAAACTATTTTACAAATAATTATTTAATCTATGATTTTTGCCAAAGATTTTCACAAAATAATAAATTAGTGTAAAGTGTCAGAAGAAATGTGTTTAGAAATCAAAACATTTATCTTTGGTTTAGATTAAGTAAACAATTTTAGCAATAATTGCAAACTTACCTTATGGCTATGGCTATGATCAATATTATTTGCTTAAATTCGGTAATAAAATAATTTACTGTCAATTAACAATTTAATTACATAAACAAGAAAGGTAAAAGTTGTGCACATTTGCAAATACCTAACATGGTAACTATTTGATTCAATGCAATATATTTACTCTACTTATAAAATTAAGTTGTTTTAAATACATTTTCGCTATAATCCACACACGAGTGTATAAGCAAAATATAATACAAGCATTAAGTAATTTAGTTATGATATAAGAATACTTAATTTTGTCCAATTTATAGATAATTATTTAAATATAATATTGCAATGAATCAAATAATGATCATGGTTTAATGGTGTTGCAAATTGATACCAAAAAGTTTAATAAAACATAATCCAAACGAAAAACGAGATTGGTTGGCGACACTTTTGTTAAAAATTTTATGTGTATTTCAATTAACTCTACACTTATAGAGTAAAATGAAATTAAAATATGATTTTATGAAAGAGTAATCCAAATGAGAAGTGCGTTGAGTTGTGTTTGCACTACAATTGAATTAAAACTTTATATGAGATGAGCATAACTTTTAACAACGAGTTTATCAAAGAGAACGCCTCTATGTGTGCGCGGTTTGTGATGACAGAGCCCTACGAATACACAGATAGTGGAGAGGTTTTGGAGTACAACAAGTGATGAGATCTATATAATGACGAGTATATGGGAAATGAGGTGACATTAAGACAATGACGCGAATTCAGTGTTGCAAACCATCTAAAACTTTTTATTGTACAGAATATTCTTTATTGTACTCTTTGCTCAGTATCTCTCTATTGCCATATCTATTAAGACAACTATTTATAGTTTACAGATACCAGTGTTGTAATTATTTTATAATGTATTTTAATTTTACTCTCTCTCTCTCTCTCTCTCTCTCTCTCTTTATCTTTATATATTCACAACTATTGAAGTAAAACTTTCTTCCTCTATGAATGTCTAATATTTGTCATGCATTGCAATCCCAACAAAATCTCTCTCAAAGAAATGAACATTTTTAATATAAAAGTTGCCTAAAACTATATATGAAAGTGAAAGTGCAGCAAAAATGAATCTATCAAAAACTTTTGGCAAATCCATTCTAATCTAATCTAAGCTAACCTTCAATCGAGTTTTGAGCTAAAAATTGTTAGTTTTCTTTGAGATAGATTTTGTTGGGATTGCAATGCATGACAAATATTAGACATTCATAGAGGAAGAAAGTTTTACTTCAATAGTTGTGAATATATAAAGATTTGCAATCAACTCATTTGGCACTTCAAACCCAACATTTTTATTACACTATAAATGAAGTCAACCTTTGGATTAAATTTAAGAATTTTATAATATTTTTGCTTTAATTTAAAGTAACAGTCAATCGGATAGAGAATTGGCGCACAAATTAAATATGACTCGAAATATAATATTCATTATAATTGTTTAAGTAATGGATTATTTATTTGGATTATAGGCCGTTCGCTCCACTTCTTGGATCGGGCGACACATCTCTCATAATTGAATTGTCATTTCTTTCTTTATCTTTTTCCCAACAGAAATGCGTCAAACAAACACTGTTTTTCTCCTAATTATAAGTAATAAATAACATTAAAACACTTATCAATTCATTACTGACGTTATACTGTGTAAAGCACTTCATTTAATATCAAGTAATCAATAATTAAACAAATAATCGCAAATCAATTGTCGTTTTTGTATCATTAAGTGTTGAAAATTTTTTGTCAATCAATACAATGAGGCGAAAATATTTATTATTTTTATAATTATATTATTAAAAAACAATCGATTAAATTGAATATCAAGAAATTGCTAATATATTAGTGTATGTTTTAAATAGACGTCAAACACATGTAATCAAAACCTATGAATATAATAGGAATAATCACCAAAATTATAGATCTTATCACTTGAAAAGTTGTTCATATATTTAAAGTTATTTTTAAATATAGAGACAGAAAACATCGACAATCTGTTGGTAACTGTCGATAAAATGAAGCAATTATTTAGCGCTTATTACAGTAAAACTAAATGAATCCAAGAATTGAAGTGAAAACTTATGACTGTTTTAAGTCAATAAATAATATTTCTCTTCTGAATTGACTGTAATTATTGAGCAAATGATAAGAAGAGCTTTAAATACTGCCAGTTATGATAAGGAATGCATTTCTGTACACAAATATATTTCATTTAGTAAACGATTGTTTGCTTAAACACCAAATGATCGGCAATTAAAGTGACACTTATTTTAGGGAAGTTATGTGAAGTGGATGTCATCACAATGTCATTCCCATACAAACCAATCCATAGCTCTGTCAGGTCTGTAACTCATTTAACTTAAGTCTTTAATTAATATAAACATTGATTTATAAAGAATTGACTTTATATTTAAATTCTTTGTTATTGTTTCCACTTTAATGTTTAAATATATTTCATTTAGTAAACGATTGTTTGCTTAAACACCAAATGATCGGCAATTAAAGTGACACTTATTTTAGGGAAGTTATGTGAAGTGGATGTCATCACAATGTCATTCCCATACAAACCAATGCAAACATTTTTCCATTCGACTGTCTATTTAAAACTAGATTATAATTACAATTTACTTAAATCAGTTTAAAACATAGATTACATACAAACAGTACAAGAATTATTCTGTATTACAACTTTTTATTAACATTGTTTTAAAATAATCCATTTCTGGATACAAAATCATTGATGTACCCAATGTTTGTAATATTTAGTTACAAATGAAACAATTTTTTGTGTAATAATAATAATACAAATATATGTTTTGTGATAAGAAATAATAAAAAATTAGTTTTATTTAAATCAAAAATAAACCAATTGTCGGAAAATGGTTCAAAAGTTAACTGTAAAGCATCTTTTAATGGCATGAGTTCTATATATAACTCAACAAAAATATTTTAACAATTAAATAGATTTATTACTTAAACAGTAAAGACAAGTGAGTTTATATATATCATAAAAATATTGTTTATTCATATAAAACATATTTTAGTGTTGAAAAGATTTAATCAAATTAAAAGTCATAACTGCAGCGAAACTACTGGAAGCCGTAAACGCAGTCCTGGTATTCAGTTTAAATCATTTATAGTTAATAAAGTGTTTAAACATTATTCTAATACAATACTAATAAACTCACCACAAAAATAAACGCATATTTCTATTGTGTTTAAAAACATTATATTCGGACACTTTTATGTCATAATCGTTTCGAAAGGCATCCAAAATTGATTTCGACCTAAAATCAAATGAAGTATACGTTTGAGATGTTTAAGAATTAAAAACAAATTATTTAGAAATTGTGTGCAAATATATATTTGCTTCAAATATTGAAAACACGAGAATTAGCAGCACTTATGAGTTAAACAAAAATGAAATGCCACTCATCTATCAATTATTAAAATAGAAATTAAAATAGAAATTAAATTCATGTGAATTAAATATTGTGTCAAATATCTCAACACATAAAACAAAATGTTCAATGTTTAATAACATCTGTAAGTAAAGTAGACTAATGTATTGCTAAAACAGCTTAAACACAACACTCACTCAAAAAAGTGAAAAATATGTATAAAACGTTAAATATATTTATTAATTATTAAATAAATAAATAGTTATAATATATTTGTGTTAAAACATAACCATCAATTACTGAAAATAAAGTCTGAGAATTCAAAAAATATAGATTCCGTTTAATTTCATGTTTACTCACATATTATCTGGAAATTTATATGCATTAAGAATTAAGTCTATATTTATAAATTATAATAAATGGGATTTTACTGTATATTCAAAAGAACTACTGTATAAATGAATGGTTTGGGCTCATAAACTAACTTATAGATTGTTCCTATGTATAAAACAATTGATAAAGATTCTAAATGTTTTTGCATTATACTGTACTTATTTTTAATATAACATAACTTAAAATATTATGAATTATGTTTAAAAGTAAGTAAATAAATCAAATTTATTTAAAAATTTAAAAATATTTCAAAGTTAAATCTTATAGTAAAAAGTCCTACAATTGACAATGTATTTCAATTTACAACTAATTAAAAAAAACAAAAATTAGACTTTAATGATAGGTTTTATTAAAATATCGTTCACATTAATTATTTTCAAATAAATTAATGACCAATTTTATGGATAAAGTTTGTTATTTTGTGTGTTTACTAAACAGTGTTTTACATTTCTTACATTTGTTAGAATTAATAGTTAAAATTAAGTTCTTTAAAAATAGATTTAAATTCTTGACTTCTGTTTAATATACTGTAAGAATTTGTGAATCAATACAACACTCTCTTTAACACAAATTGTAATTTAATATTTATTTATAATGTTTTGATAAAGAGTTTATACAATAATTTATGTCACTATTAAATCACAGCTGAGATGTAATAAATAATATGAATCAAAGGAATACTACTAATAGAAAGCTATATAT